AAGTGCGTTATTCAATTTGGCAACCTCTGCACATCTGCTGCTAGAAATAGAGGCTTGGTTCACGAGAACTGAGTCACACCATGATATAACTGTAGGACTACTTGTTGAGAACTGAGCTGTAAGCACTGATTTTTAATTAAGCCCTGAAGGACTTCTCATCATGGTAATTTTTTTTAATCACAAATCTACTTTATATAGTACCTTTCCTTTGATGAGTGAGAAAGTAAAGTAATATACAAAAGACCTGAGTCAAATTTGGGGTCAATGAATGTTTGCAGTTTTCTGGTGAAACAAAAATTCTTGCTGTGAATTCTAAAAGTAAACAGACACGCTGGAAAAAAAAAAAAAGATTTTCTCTTATGAGAGACTCTGTACCAAAGCCTTCCACAAAAACAGTATGCAGCATCCACTAAACATCCTGTCTCATTACCATTCTGCAATTACTGTTTGCTTGGCCTAAATCTGATCTTATTAATAAAAATGAACACAATAAGACACAACTCTGTATCCCCCAAGAATTATCTTCCAAGGATACTCAGATTTCTTTATATTACTTAGCAGTCCTACAGTCTCTTAAAGAAAACTCAGCTTCATCTCCAGTGGAAAGTCACTGTTTAGTTAAAATGGGATTTGGGGTTGGATTTGTTTTCTACGAAGAGAAAAAATAGAGATATTTTACTTTCATTTATTACAAAGGCAACATCTTTTGTCTCTGGAGACATATTTTCATTTCAGGCTGTATTTCACAACAAATTATATTGTTAAACCAGCCACTTCATAGGTATTTTTGAATGTAGTATTTTACTATAAAACTTGTTTGCCTAGTGTTTTTAAAATTTTTTTTAATGGAGGAGAGGTAATTTTGGGTTTATTTTTTTAAAACAGAGGTACTGGGCACTAAGTCCAGGACCCTGTGCATGCTAGACACGCACTTTACCAAGAAGCTCTCCTCTCCCTCTCCCCTCTCCCGTCTAATGTTAATTAGCACAAAGATGGCTTTATTTTCAAAACAGAGGATACTGCTTTCAAAGTCTTCAATTTTTATTAAAAACTACTATATATGTTAATAGTAACATGCTCACTGTAAACCATACAAACAATTCAAAGGCAGATAAAATCTCCAAAGGCTCCAACTAACTGTCCCCTAAGAAGTTACTACTCTTAACACAATTTCATATTAAAAAGAGGGGACTGTATCACATCTACAGTCTTTCTATGGCAGTAAGGCAAGAAAAGATTACCTTAAAAAGCCTTTACAATTTTTTTTATAACTAAACATACATGCACAATTTATTGTGAGTTTCTACAAGAAAGTAAGCAAAAAAGCAAGAATTTAAGAAAAAAAAGGAAAAAGATGGACCGTAATCTTAATAACTGAACTTGAAGAGGTTTTTTAGGAGACTATTAAGAAATGTCTTATTCTTTACACCCACCCCACAAAATAAAAGGTTACAGACTACCATCAAGGAGTAACTTGTCTTTTGAAGGTCAATCAATCATCTAGTTTTAGTAAAAACTAAAATATAACACAACACTGACAATGAAACATGCAGAGGACTCAAAGAAAAATCAGAGCCAGCAATCTGATGAAACATGACATTAAAAGCAAGATCAAGGCACAAAGCTCTTTTTCTTCCCATAGTCAGCCACATCAACTAGGAACTGCAGAGCTAGCCGCACACATGAGCAGAAAGAGTGCAGGGACACCTCTCTCGGCAGCGGGTGCTGCAAACAGACGGTGCACATCTAACCAGTAACTAACTGGGATGCACAAAGCAAGTACAGACTTTGTATGAACAATCCTGACTACTCTGACAGTGCCCTCAGCAGACAGGGACTCTGAGGCTATCGATATGGTTAACTGACGCACAGAAATCATCAGAGGTAGCTCTGCAGAGAGAACACAGACTCCTGCCCACAGCCGAATTCAAGTCAAGAAGCCAAAGGCTCCTTTAGCAATTTTCAAAAGAGTGTGTGTGTTTGTGTGTGTGTGTGTGTACCTTTCTAGAAGGGTGGCTTCTGAGAAACAGGATGAGTTCAACACAGTGGAAATGCAGTCCCATCAAGTGGTAGGAATTCACAGAACAAGCCTTCCTGGCATAACCAGTGAACAAAACAGACATACGTCCTCTCCCTCATAAAGCTGACACTCCAGTAGAGGCAGGTAAAATACAAATAAGATAAATAAAACATATACTGTGTTAGAGGTTGACAAGTGCAATGGAGAAAAATAAAGCCAGGAAGGGGAGCAGGAAGTGTAGAGAGGAGGCAGTTGTCTAATTTTACAAGGTGGACAGGAAACGCCTCACTGAGAAAGTGACATCTGAGTGCAGACTTGAAGGAAAGCAAGAACAAGTTAAAGACATCCCCCAAAGCAGACTTAAGGCAGTTTAACTCTAGACAAAAGTATTAACTCCATGATATAAACAAGAAATTCAAAAGTAACTTTAACTCCCCAAATCCCTCCATCTCCGTCCTCCCCCTCCCCCTCCCCCCCCACAGCAATTACTGAACCAAGCCGGACGACAGCAGCTGAAAAAGTGAGCAGAAAGCCCCACACACGACGTCCAGAGCAGCGAGGTCTACTCGGGAAGCCTCCCTTGTTTCCACAGTGAACAAAGCTCCCACTTCACCAAGGAGGGAGGCTTGCTGGTCCCCCTGCAGACACATCAAAGACTCACATGTGGAAGGGCTGCCTTACTCTTCATTTGGCTCGCTTGAACAAGAAGGTCTTTCAAGGACTCTAGTCCTTTGTCACCTCTGCTGTGATCAGGGGCCTCAGGCAGCAGCCTGACTGAATTCAGGCCAACTGGGAGCAAAGGGGACAAGTTATGAGAAAATGGCAAATGGGTAAGGTTCTAATTTGAGGGAGGAGAGCTGATTAGTGAAAAATAAGAAGAAGCCAGGTACTCCAGGACCTGAGCAAATGGTCAGAAGTGATTTCTGAGGATTCAGATCAAATGAGGAGGAAAGAGCAAAATACATTATCCATTCTGGTCGGCTGGGGTTCACAGGACTAAGGTACTCAAGTCAGTAAGCACAAAAGGACGCTTGGAGATGGGTGGGGCTGGAAAAGAGGGGTCCTGAGACACATGAAAGAGCTGTCAGACAGAGGCAAGGGAAGAAATGGGGACTGGAATTCAGAAAGGCAGGTCAGGGACAGGCTACAAGGACAGGGCACAAACTCAGAGCTCTTGGCTGTCATACACGTACAGGGGGACTGTGAATCCGAGGAGAGTAACTGCCTGCAGCCCACCCGAATTTAAGTACTTTGCCACTGAAGGTGTAAGAGCCGCCAGGCATATCCCTCTCCACCAAGAGGCTGGGCTCTGCTGGTTCTGGTGACCGAGGACAGCGGTGAGGTCACAGGGCTACATCCTTGTAAGAGCTGTGCTTCCCTTACACTCTCCTCTACCCAGTTACATGCTTCCTTGCTCGCTCTCTCCATAAGTGCTAGCACGCATGCGTGCGTGCGCGCGCACACACACACACACACACACACACACACACACACACAAACTCCTAAAGCATTTCTAATGCAGGGAAGAAAAAGTTTATAAAAATTACCTCCATTCCTTTCCTAACAAGGGCCCAACCAGAGACTGACTGATTCTACCTAGCTGAGAAGTCGGTTCTCACCATCACCCACATGTGATAAATGTTCGGCAGTGGTGATACTGGATGGCTCCTGACAGAGAACAGACCTCAAGTTCCAGATAAGCCTTTCTGACATGATAGACATCACGGGAAACAAGGCAACTAGAGCTTTAAGTTACAAAGAAGGATACTTAATACTCTCCAGGAAAAAAAATCAGTACCTATCCTGAACTCCTTGCCAAACTGCCTATCCCTAAAAGTTTGGGGGAAATACGCATAGGAAGTGCCAAGAATCTTTAAATCCTGTATTTTCAAAATCTGTCAGCCAGGAGGATAAAAAGTTTTCAAAGGTCATAATCCCAGTTCTTGACTGTGGTATACTTTCCAGGAGTTGGTAGGTATTAAGACATGAAGTTATTTTATATAAAATGCCACAGCAACAGAATGCTGGCAATCTGACAATACCACAGGACCACATACAGAAGGGGCTTCAAAAACTAGTACTTTTTTTACAACATCTATTTCAACAAAGTGAAATCAATGTTACATAAAATAAATACTGGTAACAGGAAAGTTTCAATAAGAACTAAATCCATTTTAGTCCCTAAAGGCAAATGGTTCAACTATTAACACTTTTTAGGCCTTCCCCTTAAATGCGCCCTCTCTTATATTCTGATGAAAACTGGTCAATTATTAACTGTGAGGCAAGGTCAATTAAAGAAAGAAGATCATTTCCAAACACAAATCAATACACCTTCAGGTGCCTGGGATAGGTCAAGAGATGGCCATGATTTTATAAGCCATTTCTGGTGGAAGAAGCAATGACTGAGTAACATTGTAAAGAATTTTTAATAAATAAACACTTTCATTTTAAACTTATAAATGCAATAGTGATTAAGTATTCATTCCACCATGAACTATAATCCATTAATTTGAGGAAACTTTGGCTTTAACAGAAGACTTGTAAAGTCCTTCCCTGACGGATACTGAGGAAGGTGTTACTGTGTTTTCCCTTTGCTTTTGCCACTATGATATTCTGAATCAAATTTGCAGTTATATCATAGTAACCACACAATAACTTTTATCTTCCAAATGTGTTTTAGTTTTCCTCAACATTCCAATAAACTGGTATTTTTGCTGATTCTAATTACTGTCTTTCAATTTATGACACCATTTTATTTCTAGTTAGGCTCAGATTTTTGTGGAACAAACAAGATATAAACAAGATATTTTATTTCATAAATGGATTTAAAATAAAGATCTAACAATAGTTCTACCACCCTGACTCATTTGTCCTGTCACTCTGCACTAATGAACAGTGTAGAGTGAATATGAATATACTAATGACTTCTGTGGAATAAAAGAGTCACAGGAGTTAGTGAAGATCCTAATCAAACACTTACCAGGAGCAATGGTCTCCAGGGTATCAGAACTGACCTTCCGCGTACTTGTACAGTGATGGAGGGTGGAACCCGAAAATACCAAGTAAAAGACTACATCATCCTCAACTTTGTCCTCTTCAGCGAGCAGCACAGTGACAACACAGTCACCCTACGAAAGAGAGAGAGAGTTTGCGTTAGGCTCCTCTTGGGACTCTATCGTTACAAAATATCAAGTTTAAGGGAAAATCAAATGTATTTGTATGCCATTGTCCCAATCTAGTAAATTTATACAAATATAAACACTGATTGAGCACGTATGTGTCAGGAAGTATTTTAGGCATTGAGAATACAAAACGACCTGAAAATAAGATCTTTGTCCCTTTGAACTTAAATTTTAGTGGAGGGAGATTAGACAAACAAGTAAATCAACAAGATAGCCGTATATTTATGTGAAGAACTTTTTAAAGGAATATAAAAAAGCTCTCTGGAAAAGCTCCGTAAAAATTTCAGGAAAATTCAAAGAATAAGGCAGAGAGGATAGAGGAAGCATATTTAACAGTTGCATCCTTATACTCAGAATGCCCCTCAATCTCTGTGTTCCAGTTGTAGCAATAATTCTCTAGATTCTACACCCCACAAATCACTGCCAAGTCCACCCATTCTCCAAGAAACACGGAGCGCCTCTATCACAGCTGGCCTGGAAACAGTGGCGTGCAAAGAACGTAAGCTTGGGCTCCAGACAAATCTGGGTTTAAACTCCGTCTACAAAGACTTTACTTAAATCCCCTAAATCTCAGTTTCCTTGACTGTATAAATGGAGATAAAACCTTCTCTTCTTACAGCTAATATGTGAGAACTCTTGAAACATATTCACCTCTCAGTCTACAACAATATTCTTAATCTATTAAAATGGGAGGGTCACTTTTCCAACAACTGGTGTTTCCTGACCATCTGGAATCTCTACTCTTCTTTACCCATCCCTCCACTAAGCCCATAGAATCAGACATAAATCTTGTGCCAGTAACTCTGCCCATGATTTTGCAACTATTCAGAAGTTAAGACATCTCTGTCCTTTTATTTGCTAGTATTCTAGCAATTTTGATACATTCATTTTTTAAAAATTGAGGTCAGTGGCTAAATTACATTTACTCTATGAAACACAGTCCTAATTACCATTCTCCCAGTCAGAAACATTATATAATTCATGTTGTAACCATAAACAAGACTTTAAAGCACTGAGGTTCAGCACTGTATAAATCTTAATAATGCACTGTGCAAAATCCAATTTAGAGAAGACTAGGCCATTTTAACATTAAACAGGGGAGAGAATTCTCATTACTTAAGAGCATCTTTTTTCTTTTCCACTTTAGCAATAATAAAGCCTCTTAGAGAACCATGCCACCCTGTGGCCACAACTTAATGGTCTGCAGCATGATGAAGCAGCAGGTAGTGTTTCACTAAACTATGAAAATCAAAAATTGTAATAAAGTCAAGCTTGGGATCAAGTCTAGTAGAGGAAATGCTCCAACAGGTTGATTCTGGAAATGGAGTTCACAGTACTTCCCGCAGTCCTGAGTGTCTCTTACTGTATCCTCAGCGCTCTGCGCTGTGTCCTGCACACGGTAGGGGTTAATCTGCTGTTAAGAAGTCAGAATGAACTACAGATAAGCTGTAACTCACCATGACTGCTGAACTGGATAGTTCCAAAATACCCTAGCACGCGGAATAGCAAAGTCAGTAAAAGAGAGTCATCACTGACTTTAGTCACTATTTAGAATTACACTTTGGGCTTGTGTATAAGTTCTTTTCTTGGAAAAGCTTAGGCTGGTAAAATGTTTAATATACTTTGGCATGATAAACCACAACCAGTTAAAATGTCTGCAGCACATATGAAAAGAATCAATTTCTCAAGGTACTGAAATATCGTTATAACCTGAAAAAAAGTATAAATTAAAGTTTTAAAGTTTCATCTTTTGGAGCACATGTTAGCAAACTTTTGAGCCATGGGCCAAATCCAGCCCTCTGCTTGTTTCTATGTGGCTCACAAGCTGAGAAAGGATTTTACATTTTTAAATGGCTGGAAGAAAAATATGTGTTAACATGTGAAAGTTCTATAGCACCCAAATTTCAGCGTTCACAAATAAAGTTCTTCTGGAACACAGTCATGCTCACCTGCTCACACAATGTCGATGACTACTTTTGCTCTGCCGTGGGCCACAGTAGAGTTGTGTGGCTGCAAAACCACTGTGGGGCCTGCCAGCCTAAACTACTTATAATGTGGGCTGTTACAGAAAAGTTGTTTTTCCACTTAGATAGCTAACCTGGAATTCCAAGAATATATCTTCTTTTTCAAGATCAAGAATTTCCTCTCCACACGAAACCCACGAGACCTCTCTGTGCCCAGGATACGAGTGATATCTGGGGCCTTCTTTTAACGGGGGTCAGAGAAGATGGCTAATCGGCAGTTGAAACCCTTTTAACAAAGCTTTCCATATCAACCTTTTTTATTCTTAAGACCAAGGTAAATAAGCTTTAAATTGCTTTCATAGCTTTAATAATTTTGTTAAAAAATTTTTGAGTCAACTACCCAAAATATTCAAAAGAAGAGAACAGAGAAGCCTCACTCACTTCAAACTCACTTGAAATTTAGGTTCCAAAGGCACCTGGAATCAAAGTACCTGTTTTCCTTGAAGGAGTATCCTCTGCACTCTGATAAAGTCACTGGGAGCAAATAATAAACACTCTTACTCTGCATTTCAGCCACATGACTCCTATTTCACCGCAGTAGTACCAGGCACTTAGAATTACTTGAGATGGCCTTAAAAGATTAATCGAGCAGAGTGGTGATTAAAAAACAAAAGTGAAAAACAGATCTAAGTAAGAATTTCTGTTGAGGTGGCTGCTTTGATCACACCATCCCTGAGGGACACCCTGGTAAATGACACTACAGCTCATGGGAAGGACAAGCCCCGAGGAATAGGCAGATAAATCAATCTGGCTGCCAGTTAACAAGTCTGTCGTGTTTTTTTTTTAACTACAACAGATGAACTTATTATAACAAGGGCAACTTTCAAGACATTTTGATTAAAATTTCAGTTTGACCACCTAACCCTGGGGACAGAGTACAACCACATCTCCATTTCTCCAGGAATGTGAACTCAAGAAATAGAGTGCTACCCTTACCAAGGTAATTTCTGTTTCTTTATTAATGAGAAATGTATTCTTGAACCTGACAGTTTTTCCAGGGTCCTAATTAGCTTTGCTGACAGATGGCACAAGAACTAACAGAACAGACAATCTCTACTAGGCCCCAAGTACAGGTGACACTCCAAATATAAATGCACTGCAATCCTAAAATGCCACCAATCACTTACTGGGTTTTAAATCGCAGTTATGGTCCCAGTTCTCCCCATCTTTAACTCATTTATATAGTGAATACATTGTATTAATAGTACTGTAATCACCTTTATATACTTATTAAGTAGTAAAAGGAAATTTATTTTTCATTTACATTTCTAACCTGGAATTCAAAGAATAAACCTTCCTTTTCTAGATCAAGGAGTCTCTTTCCACATTAGACCTAACATCCTGCTGAGAGACTCTTGATGCACCAAGATACCAGTGAGGTCTGGGGCCTTCCTTCCACTGGGGACAGTAACCTGATTGGGACAGAGTGGAACGGGAGGAGAAGAGCACCTGAGGGACGGGGGAGAGTGACTCAGCAGTGTGGGGACAAGCCAGGCCTTGGAAACAGGGAAGATGTCAGATGGCAATTTGGGGAATGAGACTGCTAGGCAGTTCTGTGGGAGGAGTGTTAAAAGGAAGGACAGCACTGCTCTCTGAGACAGCAAAATGGTGTCAGTCGTTAAGGTTTCTAGAAGGTGGCCCTGTCAGCAGCAGATAACCGCAGTGGTATGCTGGAGCTGGCAAGGATGGGCTTGGAAGAGCTTTCCGTATTTTCAGGAGTTCCACAAGTCAGGTGTTAAAACATAGCCATTAATAAAAAGCAAATGACATAAGCTTACAATTAAATAGATGTAATTAATACTCAAAAGTCACCACTTCTTAATTATTTTGCCACATCGGACTATTACCTATGCTCTTGAGGTTTCCATCTCTTGCCCCTGTTATAATGATGCGCTACTGCATCTTGTTCCAGTACACATCTCTTGCCAACTCTGTTCAGTGATGTGGTGCTGACATCTCGAAAACAACCATTATGGGAGTATTAACACCACCGAAACAGGCAAATGTTACAAAGCAGGGTTTGGCTTGGTTTTGCTTTTTTTCTTTTTAACCATCACATCACTGAGAACAGGTCAGCAAAAGGGAAAAGGGGGAAAGGAAGAGAATTTCTATAAGGAAGGCCCAATCAAGAGAGGTCACTGCTTACAAGGAGTCAGAGGGCTTGCTGTAAGAGGAAATCCTAGGCCAGTACAAAGCATCTCGGGTCACGGACAACAATGTCGCCACAGTTCTGCTCCCAAGAGTTCAATATAATCCCCACCTTAGGTCAACGTGTTTTCTAATTTTCAAACTTGGCTGAGAACTTGTGAGCACACCACAGTGGTTAAGAGGACGGCCTCAGCCTCCATCACAGCAGACACAGCACACCACTCTCTCCAGCTGTTTAACCTGGGGTACACTAAGGTCTCTGCCATGAGAGAGCAACAGTCACACTTACCTCATCTGGTCATGGCAACAAGTAAATGATAAAAGTAAAGCACCTGTAGCAGTGCATGGCACATGGTAACTGTTCAATAAACCACAGCTATAATCACTGTACGGTGCAGCATGATGACTACAGTTAACTGGTTAACAATCCTGTACTGCACCCTTGAAAGTTGCTAAGAGAATAGATGTTAAATGTCCTCATCACAAGGAAAGTTTTCTAACTGTATGTGGTGATGGATGTTACCTAAGCTTATTGTGGTGATCATTTTGCAATATATATATATATTGAGTCATTGTGTTGTACACCTAAAACTAATGCAATGTTATATGTTAATTATATCTCAATAAACAACTAAGTGATAGCTATTACTATTTCCAGAATGTCAGCCCCATGAGCATGTTTCATTCACTGAGCTATTCCCTTTGTCTAGAATAAGCAGCAGGTGCTCAAAACACACATTTGACAAGAGGAGGAGACACCAAAACTTTAGTAAT